CGCTGTTTTTCGTCAAGTTTATTGACTGAAAACCTACGAAAATCGAGAAAATAAATTCGAAAAGTATAAATACGTTTAGGTTACGGTAGTTTTCGTTGTGAGACCTTCGGCCATGGCCACCGGCATTTCTTTTATACAGCCCAGATTTTAGGTGCCAGAATAGAAACGGGACTTAATATTTTCAACGGACCGGGCTGGGCGTTTTGCGGATTTTAAAAAGTTCCCAAATAACGGAATTTCGTCGAAATTGAATAAAAAACTTACGTCCATTTGGGATCTTACACAGCTGGAAAAGCTTCGTATACGGAATATTAGACTCAATCAGTCGTGACATCGGATCGGTGTCCACATTCTTAGTGACATAGTTCAAAAGTGCATTATTGCCTTCTTTTCCACCACGACCCATTTCGATATGTCGTGTCTGACGGCCGATCATGTAGTGGTTCTTGCGACCGGTGGTTTTCTGAATTTTTTTAAATTTTCGTAAAATATTCTTAACTAACATATTCCAACAAATTTGGTTCCTTTCCTGGTCTGTAAGAATCGTCAGTCTCCATTTTGTGATTCATTTTGAAAAACTCTGTTGCAAACTTGATATCCTTTAGGGCCGCTTCATAGCAAGCTGTAGTGTCATAAGAATAAGCATACGTCGAATAAATTGACGATTTTTGACACTTTTTGGACTTGTAGTAGTCCTTGATCTCCTTCATGTTCTCATTACGAACAGCTCGAGTGATCCATCTGTGATATACCGATGCACTAACATATTCAGGAACTTCTGCATCGGCGAAGAATGGATTGTCGACGTATTCGGTGATGGTACGTGGCGTTAGACGATCGTTTCCTTTCTTTGCCACTTTTTTGACTTTCACTGCTTTCGTTCCGATCTTCTTGACAACTTTTGTCGAAACTTTTGACTTTTTGGTGGCTGATGGTTTTTGACCCTTTTTCACCACCTTTTTCTTATGGAACTTTTGTTGCTCTTTCGATGAATGATGGTGGATGTGGGTGCCTGATAGGGAACTGCTTGGGTACGTTGACGAGGTGATCTTAGACGGCCTGAAATTACGAGGAAAATCTATAAATTGAGCAACCTGGAGTGAGGTATTTTCAAGAAAGAAATCGGTAAAGGTGGTGTGCGAAGAATTTTTTACTGTATAATTTTGTACAAAAATGTATGTAGCTTCACTAAAAAAATTAAAAAATTTCTAAAATACAATAAAAACCGCTTCGAAAAAGCGAAGGTGGGATCCGGGATACATTTCAAGCATCGATCAAGATCATAAGAGAAAAAAGCAAACATACGAGGAAGTGTTGTAACGTGATCATCATCCTCACGGAGAGAATCGGCCCGAGAGTGTGTCAGTGATTACACATGTTTCCCGTCACAGCCGTCCCCGAAAAATAATGACATGAGCAACAGGTCGTCGGAGGAAAAAGAAGAGGAAGGGACGACTTGTACACTTGTTCTTTCTTCTTTTTTTCTTTGTACTGGGACACAAACAACACAATAAATAAGTTAGGCAGATAAAAAGTATGTTTGAACAAAATAAAACTTGGACCAAGAAAATCTGAATATAGGAACACAGAAATATTTACAATCAGAGACTTCGGAGATGTCAGGCTAACATGAAAGGAACCCAGATGGACTGAGATGGAAGGATACATGAAGGGGGGATGTTGATTCCGGCGGAGAGACGACGATGGCCAGCTCGCGCTTCAGAGTCTCCGATGCCGCTATGACAGGTAATCGGAGACCTGGCGGAATAAACACGAGTCGCATATTTCTTAAATGCTAATCAGCTTAATCAAATTTCTACTGGCATAATAATCCAATATTATTGTTAGGCTCCACAGGTGCTCGTCGTCCTAGCTCCTGTTTTGTCCAATTTTCATACGACTTTTTTTACC